TTTAAAACGATTACGATTACATACTCCATTACATATAAAATATTACCATAACTAGAACTTCATTGAAAATATAATTGTTTAATTGCGGATAAAAACGCGCATATAAATAGTGTAGGCGGAGGGATCATAAATAAACCATTTCCTATGCCTGTAAGAATTATTCGGAGCGCGATACTTCCTTCTTAGGTTTTCCGAGTATACGGAATACGCGCAACTCATTTCCTCTAATCTTATTCAATTGCACTGTTTTATGCAAACGGCAATAGCCGCTAATTACATTGAATAAAACTCGGAATGGTGCTCTCGATGCTGCTTACTTTTATGTATTTCTCAGTACGAATACAATTAAGAATATTTCACTATGATTCCGTGACGAATCTCAATACTCTGTATATCTTATCTTCCTGCTATATTTTCTATCTTAATTAGAAGGTTGGCGTGTCATTCTACAAATATTAAAATAATTTCTTATAGCTTTGCAGACTGTCGATAATCTCACGATATTTGATAATACGCGGTATACGGATATATCTTCGCATCTCTTCCCGACCATTCGTTAAATCAAAACCAACGATATACCCTCGTGATTACCTCATTCGGCTTATACATATTTACTTTGACTGCAATATAAATTACGCTTCGCTGCAATTACACTCATTATTCACGCGGTAATAAAATATCATGCCAGATTCTCTAACAACTTTTGTAATTAATCCGCCTCGGTCTTAACATAGTTACATCTGGAAAGAAGGAATAGATAACTTAATGGCGTACTGATTTTATAATTGGATCCCTGCGCGTAATTGGATTAATAATACGAATAAATTAGTGCCGAAACCGACCAATTAGGATAAAGTGATAAACTTGCCGCGTGGTATATTTCCTCTTCGCGTCTCGTCGTTTCTCAAACAACCTTGCGAACATTTTGGCGTATTTATATATTCATAGAGGTAATTATCAAGGCTATATTTGGTATCATTCTAAAAGTAGACATAATAATAAATTCAAAACTCAGACGTGTCTAGAAATTGTAATATTATATTCACGCTTATTATTTTTGCAAATCTTACAATATTAATTAAAAAAAATAATTAAAATTCATTGTTATTAAAATACTTCAACTACTATGAAGAAGCGCTTTTGTTTCTTATAACGGATATTTTATATTTTACATGAACACTTTTTTGGAAATATCTTAAAAATTATTTTAGACTATTTTAATAAGTGATATTCAAAAATGTAGAGGAAGAAATATACGTATTCGATGCTCGATTATTTTATCAGTTTTATGTTATCGGGTAACATTTTCCTTTGATAGTTTTACAATCTTTCTAATGATGCATATCCTTCGCAAGAATTATGGAGGGTAAGAGTTTCGCTATCAGCAATCATTCTCCGCAGAATAAAGCGATATTCAACACGGAAGATTTAGAGATTATCGGTAGCAATAAGCCTTGCAAGACGTGTCGTGAAGTATGTCTTCAATGAATATATATTTATCTTTAGGTTATAAAAATATTATAATGTTTTACACATATATATAGTCAGTTCTTTTAATTCCTATTTCATATTTAAATTAATTATTTGTTATTATTATATATTATATATTAGTTATTTGTACAGAATAAATAAGATTATATAATGGCTATAATAAATTAAATACGTGAGAAATTCTAGCTTGCAAAAATATAAACATGAATATTTTGATTGTTACATTAACACAAAGTAAAAAATATTAAAAAAGTTTAAACAAAATCTCGTTATATATTGTAATTTCATACGCCGATCGTTTGTATTAATAACCATTGTTTCTTTTTTTAAAGATTAAAATAAAAAGAGAGATTCTGGATGAGATCGAAAATTTTTCGGTCAACGATGAGTTAGATATAGAACAGCATGTCAAGAACAAACCATTGGAAGAAGTATCACGGCATGAAAATTCCGAACAAAGCCAAGAATCGGACTGTCAAAGAAATGCAAGCGTTTCACTTTCTCAGAGACAAATGGACAAGTACACTAACTTAAAGGAATACATCGTGGCACTGACAAGAGGGAAGCTTTTAATGTGCAACGTCTGCAGGATCGAATTTCCGAACGAGGTCGAGTTCAAGACTCACATGATTGGACAAAACCATGGGAAACTTTTTCAATGTGGATTTTGCTGGAAGCAATTCTCTAAGTACGGACGGTATCCAAATAATAGACAGAAAATTCTTATTTTAGCTTAGTGTTGTTTATGAGAAAAAATTACATGCAAATGTGTAAAATATGTATAATAAAATATAATTTGCACATTATTTATTTTGCATGAATTAGATACAATCCAAATTACAAATTCAAATTTGAAGAAAAAAAATATATATGTAATATATAAGTAATATATACATTTAGTATTGTTTCTTTTATTAAAGAATATTAAAAACATATATTATTACTATTTGAAACTCATTCTCCAATTGTTGTTTCTTTATGGCCTGAAATGGCCTTCATCGCTATAATACTTGTTACTAATAATGCAATTACCATTTCCATCAAGATCGTCAACCTTAAAGAATCACCTGCATATGCATTTTATTCCGAAGTCTTTCGCGTGCAGACAATGCGAGCTCCAATTTCAGGTAGTTAATGCTAATAACCATTCGTAGATATAATGATCTTAATATCAGATCTTTTCGAACTCTTTGCTGCACAAATTGACGCGCTTACTTTGTATTCAGACTAATGAATGCTTACTGAAATACTCTGCATGCAAAAGTACAATCAATCTATCTAATCTGTCGAATAATCTATCAAAAAGTGACTTAAGTAACATAAAAGGTTTATAGAACGTTTAACGAAATCGTCTAAAAAATTTGCAAAAGATCAGATGTCTTTCGTACATTTTTTAAATATCTTATATAGTTTTTACGTGTTATTTAAAAAATTGTTTTCCGGATGACAAACTAGACATGGTTTTTTTTTTTTTTTTACTAGACAAAGCAAACATTGAAGAAACATCAAACTGAAGCGCACTTCGACAGAAGAGTATTCGAGTGTCCCATCTGCAAGAAAAAATTGCTACGTTATCAATCGCTACGCGATCATAAATTAATGCACATTAACGCAAGATCCCATAAATGCGCGATCTGTGGCAAGAATTTCTCGAAGCCTAGTAGTCTCCGGACCCATATGATCGTCCATACCGCGGACTTGCCGTTCGCGTGCGATCTCTGCCCAGCAAAGTTCAAGAGATCGTCGGTGCTGAAGACGCACAAACTGACGCACACGGGCGTGAGAAAATTCGAGTGCGACATCTGCAAGCATCGTTTCCATCTGAAAGGCGCACTGAAACACCACATACTTGCGCATTACGGTGAGCTTGTGAATATTCTCACAACTTCTTTGCGCCCGGCGGAGGAAGCTGAAGGTGTCTACCGCCTGATTAGGTCGTTCTGCTGCACGAGATCGCGCTATTTATATCTTTGTTATTTCCCCTCCCCCTCTGCCTCCTCCCTCTTCCCTTTCTTTCTTCATCGTACGTCGAGATCGCAGAACCATTAACTTCTCATATAAATCCAACGAAGCGTTTACTCTGCGAAATGATCGCCGCGGACAAAAGAATTTTTCGAGATAATCGGAAGCTTGGATCGCAACGTGTACAAATGATCATGCATAAACGCATTTTTTAATGTTCTTAAACATGTTCGCGCTTCTCGCGCGACCTGGGCGTTCCGCGGCGGAAATGTATTCCGGACTTTTAATTAACCTCTGTCTAACCGGGGTGAACGTATGAAGAAGTAAACTCCTCTCTTCGCCGCGAATCAGCTTGTTACTTAAAAAATACATTCTTCTGCCGCTTCGAAAGATATTACGGTTATTAATATTGTATTTCTCTCTGAGCGATTTATATTTTGCATATAGATAAATTGGTAATTATTTTTTGTTGGATGATATGTATTTATTCATGTATATGTACGCACGCGCGATATTAAAGAATACATATTACATAAATATTTATATAAAAATATAAATAAATATTTTTTATTGAGATTTTTTAACTTATAAAATGTGAGGAAAGAAACGGAAGAATACGAAATCAAAAAAAGTTTGCATGTGAGAATA